TGTGGGTCACAGGGCACTGTGGCCATGCTGGGCGGCTCAGGTCTACACCGTGTGGGTCACAGGGTGCTGTGGCCGTGCTGGGCGGCTCAGGTCTACACCCGTGTGGGTCACAGGGTGCTGTGGCTGGATATGAAGTCCTGGCCACTCATTCTCTGTCCTGGTATGTCTGTGTAGCTCTAGAATCTTCCGCCATTGCGCGCTGCTGTGGAGAAGTCAGAGGCCGCCTGGGTGCCCTCTTAGGTGACTGGTGCTGAGTGTCTGGGCGCCCAGAGGGTCCGTTCTGTCTTTAAACTTCAGGCGTTTTACTGGGGTAGGTCTTGGTGTGACCCGTGCCTCACCGGTTCTTCCTGGTAGGCAGCGTGCTTTTTCATTATGTAGATTCAAGTTTTCTTTTGTTTTCAGAGGCTTTCTTGGATAATGTCTTTACCTCTCTACTCTTGTTCATGGTTTCGTTTTCTTCTTTGGGGACTGCACTCACCCTTAGCCTACCTTCTATTTATTTTCTCTCTGATCTTTTTTTTTTTTGTATGAGCTTTGTCGAGGTATAATTCACATTCCATGCAAATCCACCCATTTAGGGTATACAGTTCAGTGGTCTGTGGGTTATTCACAGAACTGGGCAGCCATCACCCCAAGAAGGAGCCCCCTCACCCTGAGCAGCCCCCCGGCCAGCCGGGCTCAGTAAGCGATCACCTGGCGGAGGCCGGGACACAGACCACCTCCTGCTCCCTAGATCTGGTGAGGATCAGGGGGTGGTCACTGCCACATCCCTGGAGGTAGCTCCTTTTAATACAAGAGCAAGGTAAAGGGTCGCAGGGCCCCGCGTGGGCCCAGGAAGCCAGCGCCTGCGCCCGGCATGGCAGGTCCCTGGCTGGGAGAAGGGGTACAGTGCTCCTTCCCAGTGGCTTGGCTTCCAGACTCCCTGCCCGAGAGTCCTCCTGCAGTGGCGCGAGGCTCCCCTAGGGGGCGGCCGTAGTCCATCGCAGAAGGAACTCGGGACATGTGCGCCCCTAGTGGTTGTGTCAGGGAGGAGCAAAGTGAGGGAGCGGCCTTTGAGGCACGGTGACCCTCGGCCCCGACCCGCAGGCGTGGGGGTGTGCACGGCCTGCCCGCCCCGCTGCACCCTGTCATCTGGGGGTGTACCCTCCAGCCCTTCCTAACCTCTCTTCAGGCCTCGGCCTCAGTGCGGAGCATGTTTAGTGCAAGCACCGCAAGGCTCAGGTGGGGTGGGGGGGGCGCTGCGTTTCCCCGCCGGCTCTGCCCTGGTCTAGACCGCCTGCAGATGGAGCCCAGGCCCCTCTGCCCAGATGCTGGGCTGCCAGGCTCCTGCACCCGCCCCTGGTGTGCTCCCACTTTGGCACGCCCCTGCCCCGGTGCGCCTTTCCACCCCTGTGATCCCCCGCCCCTGGTGAGAGCACCCCCACCCCCGTGAGCCTCTCCACTTTTGTGAGCCCCCTCCCCAGTAGCCTCTCCGCCCTGGTGCTCCCCGACCCTGAGTGCTGGGACCGGCTCGTAAAGACTCCGCCCCCACAGGGTCTGGGGCTTCGTGCTGCCTGGGCTGACCTCTGCGGCTGTCCGTCACGAGCTCGGCCTTGCTCGTGGCTGGGGTCGGGTCCAGGCGGTCAGCGCCCCTCCCTGACTGTGTCTGCTAGGATCCAGCGCTGGCCTTCCCCTGTCCAGCCAGACCCCTCCCAAGATCACACGTGCTGGTTGCTTGGTCTTCTCCCCGACCTGACCAGCGCCCACAGGTGGCTGTGGTGAAGGAAGCGTGCCCCTCCATAGGGTGTGCATCTCCACAGCAAGCTCAGCCAGGCCTGTTGGAAGGAAGCCAGTCAGCACCAGCCGTGACGGTCTGTCCTTTGTTCCCAGAGCCCCCCACGATGAACCCAGTGGTGGAGCCGCTGTCCTGGATGCTGGGCACCTGGCTGTCCGACCCGCCCGGAGCCGGCACCTTCCCGACGCTACAGCCCTTCCAGTACCTGGAGGAGGTACACATCTCCCACGTGGGCCAGCCCATGCTGAACTTCTCGTAAGTCCACCCTGCCACCAGAGTAATTCCAGGTGATGCCAGACAGATGAATACAGCAGGTGGGAAGGAACCTGGCTGTGGTATTTCAGACAGGTGCCCTCTGAAGATGTTAGGCTTGCCACAGGATTGCGGGTTTGTTAGTCCAGGTGTAAAAGTAAGTGGGTGTGCTTCGTTAAATCCCTCATCTCACCTCCTAGTCGTACACAGAAATTAATCACCTGACATGAGTTTACGGTAATGACACAGGTGGGTTAGAGACTGCACCCGAAGTCACTGTCTCATTTCTTACCGTGTGGATTGATTTGACTTTGAGGCAAGATAATAGCTCCACGGGGGATAGCCCTGTATCGGCTCCAAATAAGTGCACAAGGCATAAGGTAAAACACACATCCATTCACGCAGACCCTTCCTTTTTAAAGATTAACCTTTTAGTATTAAAAATCATACATCAGACCCGTTGCCATCAAGTCAGTAGTGACTCATAGTGGTCCTACAGGACAGTAGAACTGCCCCATAGGCTTTCCAAGGAGCAGTTGGTGGATTCAAACGACCAACCTTTTGGTTAGCAGCTGAGCTCTTAACCACTGCTAACCAGTATGTATACACTGTGGGAAATTAGAACACGCAGATGAGCAAAAGTAAAAACATTCTCACAACTGTGAGAGCAAACAATTAATACCTTGGTGCACATTCTTCCAGATCTTAAAAAATAAAATAAATATCGGTGTGCCCATCTGTCAGTGTGTATACATACAGATATGTATGTACACATACATCCATGCCTGCACATCCGTGTCCATATACTAATGTGTGCAGTTATATGTGTACACATATATACATCCATGCCTGCATACTCATATTTTTTTAACTAAGAACATATTTATTGCTTCAAATCATGCTTGTTTTTCAGTCGGAAATTTGCATCTTTCAGCAGACTCTCACCTCAGCTAATACACAGACCATTTCCATGTTTTCCCAGTTAACCCCAAAGTAACCTTCACAGCTGGTCTGTCCAACAATTGGCGTTCAGGGCTGAGACCCCAGAGAAAAGGCACACACAGGGAAGCGTGCCTTTGTGGGGCGGCACAGGGCTGAGGAGCAGAGCGTTCGGCAGCCTCCTGGTGCTGGAGGGGTGCATTGGGTGTGGCAGCACCTTCTAAGGAAGGACATGAGCGAGGCGGAAGGAGATCAGGCCCTAGGAAAACGGAGCTCACCTCCTTCCTGTGTTAGATACTCGGCTCCTGTCTCCTGCCTGCCAGAAACAGAAGTGGTCATCTGGGGAAGGGGATGTCACCCAGAGCCTCTGTCATTTGTTCATGCATAGCGTTCAGCATTCAGTCAGGGATATCCAGCGGACCAGGAGCCAGGACCAAAGGAAAAAACAGACGTTAGAAGCAGCCCCACATGTTAGCTAGACTTTACAGTAACTGCAATTAACATATTTAAGAAAGCAGATTGTTGGTTGAGGAATTTCACTCAAGAACTAGAATCTATAAAGAAAAAAGAAGCAATGGAAATCCAGAGCCAAAAAGCGCAATAACTGAAATTAACTCAATAAACGAGTTTAGCCACAGAGTAGGCACAGCTGAGCAGAGGGTTAGTCATCTAGAAGTAAGGTAAATGGAAAATATCCAGACTAACACCGAGAGTTTTTTTTTTTTTTTTTAAATGCCATAAGTACAGTTAGAAGACAAATAACAACTGGGAAAACTTTTTGCAACTCATATACAGAGGGCCAGTTTCACTATACGTAAGTATTGATCAATAGAAATAAATCACAACAACTAAATAGAAAAATTGACATTTATGAATATTTCACTGAAGGTGAAGTCCAAGTGACTCCTAAGTAACGTTCAACCTCACTTTTATATGTAAAATGTGAGTGCAAATCACATCCAACTACCATCTTTCACCTAATACAAAGAATAGAAGATTTGTTAATAAGATGGCTTCAACAGTGTGTAGGGAGATGCCTTCTTGTATTTCTGGTTGGAGCATAAATTGAGTCTGTTTCTGTGAAGAATGATGTGTTAGTATCTATCAGAATTACAGTGGACATGTACTTGGGCCCAGCTATCTCATTTCTAAGAATTTCTGCCATGGATATACTCTCATGTACATAAAATCATTCACATACAGGGTTACTTAATTAGCTTGTCTGTAATAGCAACGAAAGCTCAGAAAATCTTAAATGGTTAAGTAAATTATGGTATGTCTGTACGAAAAGGGATGAGGCATTTCTGCACGTACTAATGAGGACTGAGTTCAAGCTTCTCTTTGACCTGGGACCAGTGTATGCTGCCAGCTGCAGCTCTGTCTTGTCTGTAAGCCCCTGGGATACCTCTCTCCCATGGCTCTGGCTCCATGCCCTCTGCACCTTCAGGTGCCCACCCCTGCCTGGTGCCCAGCACTGCCATGCCTTGGCACACGGCACTCAGCACTCTCGGGCTTGTGTCTTCCCTGGCATGGAGGACCGCATGAACACGTAGGCTGGCCACTATGGCCCCGAGGCCCATGTAGGGCAGGGTCTCTGTTCCATGGTGAGGGAAGATGCAGGGCAGAGCCCAGCAAACCCTCCAGCCAGGCCAGGTGCTCCACTGTGCCCTGAGACTGGAGCACAGCTTTCCCAGGTCACGGACCAGAGTGCTGAGGCAGGGTGCACGTGGAAGGAGGGTCCTCGTGGAGACAGGACCCACCCGGAGGCAGGGTCCTCGTGGAGACAGGGCCCACTTGGAGGCAGGGTCCTCGTGGAGACAGGGTCTCTTCATGGAGGCAGGGCCCAACTGGAGGCAGGGTCCACCTGGAGGTAGGGTCCACGGGTGAACTTTAATGGAGAGGTGGAGAGACAGGAAGGAGCATGCGATGGCTGCAGGAGACGTATGCTCTCCGACTGAGACACGGAGGCTGTTCTGCGCCCGTGGCCTCCAAGTGTCCCCCTTGATTGGTGCTCCTGCTCTCCTGGGGCGATGCCTCTCAGGCTCAAACTCTTCTTCGGAGCTGGGATCCTGAGGTGCGCAGGCCACAGTGGTTGGTGTGCTGCTGCTCCTTTAAGAAGGGGCGCTAGAACCTGAGGTTGTTTGCTGTCGGTGCGTGACCATGGACTGTCCCAGGGCACCCAGGAGGCCTGCCTAGGCTTCCTGTCCTCTGAGCTACACTTTCTTAACTGCTGGGGTGGAGGTCAGAGGGCGTGGCCCGCGCTGGTCCTGGAGCTTCCTGAGCCCGAGTCTGCTGGGGTGGAGTCGGCATTGGTGCCGTGGAACCCAAACACTCAGTCCCCTGTCGGGAAGCTGTTGCTGCCTGAAGGGCAGGAAGGGGTGTGGCACCCAGCCCCACCACACTTTCGGGTGCAGCAGAACTAGGAGGAAACCCCTCTTCCGTTGTAAGGACTCCCAGCTACCTCGCTGCTCGCCCCGGCCACTGTGTTGAGCCTGTGGTTATGCAGCTCTGCGTTTACATACGTGGCTCTCTGGGCCCCGTGTGTGTTGGGGCGACTGTGGTGATCTGGAGCGGTTACAGAGGGCCCAGCACTGCAGGACGGGGGTGCTGGGGCCTCGAGTGCATTTCCTGCATGTACAAGGAGCACGTGTTACCTTGCTGCAGTGTGGGGGAGGGGCGCACAGTGGTGGAGTCCCTGGGGTCTCTGCGGGAGCCCCACTCTCCTGCCTCCTGTCCAGGTTCAACGCCTTCCACCCGGACACCAGGAAACCGATGCACCGGGAGTGTGGCTTTATCCGCCTGCAGCCCGACACCAACAAGGTGGCCTTCGTCAGCGCCCAGAACACAGGTACGCGTCCCCCCACCCCCAGCTGCCCTCCCTCACCAGGTGCATTTGGTGGAGGGGCCTCCTCAGGGGTGCCCTGTCACGGACACACGTTTGTCGGAGTGAGTGAGAAATCTGCACGGTCAGGTGGGTGCCCTTTGGGATGGGAGGTGCAAGTGGGACTGGGGGCAGGCAGGGCCGCGAGCATCCAACGGTGGCTGCGTGAGGAGCCTCTAGGAGCAGCTGGCGCTCTTCTCTGACTGACCTCAGGGCCTGCTCTGTCCTGGCCCCAGGGCACAGCTTTTTCCCATAGGACAGGGAATCCGGGAGGGAAGATGGCGCAGGGAATACCCGCTGTCACCACCTCAGAGTTCTCTGTCTTGACGTCTGGTTTGCCGTGGTGTGAGGGCGTCCTAAAACACTTAACGAGCAGGCTCGCTGACCAGAAACTACCCTCCTCAGACGAGGCTCATTCCTGAAGTGGGCCGCTGATGAGGGGCCGCCCAGATGTGGCATGGAAGTCGGGCAGGAAGCGAGAGTGTTCCCACCCTGCCCCATAGTTCCTTCCTCCAGAAGCCCTTCTCAGAGCAGGGCAGCTGGGGGACCTGGGAGGGCTCCCTGGCCTGTTTGGTAGAATGGGGGACCTCCAGAGAGGGTGATGCTCCATGGGACCCCTGCCTATGCTGTGTAAGGGGATCTGCCCCCATCCCTCTGGGTACCCAGGAGGCCAGCTGCAGATGGGGATGTTGTCACCTCCATGGCTGCAAAGGCCCCATCGCCATGGAGTCCTTGCTTGAAAAAGACCCCCAGCAGGAGCCGCCTCAGCTGCAAATGCAGTGCAGGCATAGCCGGGTCTCCACAGCGTGGGGGTCTGCAGTGGGGTCTCCGTGGTGGGGTGCCCGTGTGGGCTCTGGGTGTGCACTGACGTAGCCCCTCATTGCAGGCATCGTGGAAGTGGAGGAGGGCGAGGTGAACGGGCAGGAGCTGTCCATCGCCTCCCACTCTATCGCCAGGATCTCCTTCGCCAAGGAGCCTCACGTGGAGCAGGTGAGCTTGCCCAGTACGGCCGTCCTCTGCTGGTGACTGCTGATGTGGGTCCCATGGGCTCCCAGGGAGAAGCCTCTGGTCTGGGGCAGGGGCCCCACGGCTGCTGGGGAGAAGCCCAGCCCTGACCGTGTCAGCTTTGGAACCACCCAGAGGAGACCCTCCCCTGCCCAGGGCCGGCCGCCCTCCGGCTGACCACTGTGTGCGTGCACCGTGTCACAGGTGCCCTCTCCCTCTCTCTCTGCCATGGGCGCCTCGTCTCTCCCTTTGGGTGGGCCGCCAAGAAGCTTATCTCTAGTGGGTGGTTTTCACCGTTACAAGGCTCACTTGCGGTATCATTGACTCATCAGGTTTGACTGTTGAAACCTTTAATCATCCGTTCCAACAGCTGATACTCTTAAGTGAAAATGGTTTCAAAACATGCTAAGTGAGCACTGGATGCCTGTTTCCTGCAGTTTATTGTGTACATCTGCAGCGGTTCTGTTGGACTGGTTTCTCTGGCACCGCTGACGGCAAGTGCTTCGGTTTGGTTGCTGCAGGTTCTCAGTAAAGGTTTATTTTTTCCTCTGCTGGGAATATGGCTGGGAGTCAGCCACAGCACGGTCAGCAGGGCTGCGGCCCCTCCATTAGAAATGACCCTTGTTCCTGAGTGAAGTCTCAGCGGTGGACCAGCCCTTTTAAAGGTGTTTGGGGAAAAAGCCTTTGCTTGTTAGATAAATCCTTTTATATTTAGTAAAAATAATTTTAATTACCAACATAATAAGTGAGTATCTATACCTGCATATATGCACATACCTGCATACATGCATGCATGCATATGTGGACATGTTCATGCACACACCCGCACACATATATGCACACCTGGACACGTGCGCACACACACACACAGACACACCTGCACATGGACACAGACACCTGCACACATCCGCACATGGACCCACATGGACCCACACATACACACCTGTACAGTTCCAGGCACACAGTCACGTGCCCACACATGTATGCACACACACATTTGCATATGTATAGATGAGTGTTGTGAACACTTTATTATGAGAGTGTTCAGCCGTCCAGCAGAGTTGACTTTTACAGGGAGACAGGGAGCACTCACAGGTCCTGCATGACATGTTGCTTATACCTCATCACATCTGCATCCACTCACCCCCCATCTACCCGGAAGTGCTAGGATAGCCCCTGGGACCGCTGTCAAGGCCCCAGGCGCCACCCCGACTTCACGCCATGTGGGCTCTCCTATTGTTTATATCCTTAACTGCGGTAGCCGTGTGCCTCACAGCACCCTGAGAAGCAGCAGCTCCAGGGTCCCTCAGCCCACACTCCTCCCACGTCCCAATGCTGGTGACCGTGCGATCTCATCTCCCAGCCTGCGAGGTACCACTGGCCCGTCCTCTTGGAGGGTGCCTGTTCAAGGCAGTGTCCCATCTTCTGCCATGCAGGAGTTCTCCACAGAATGTGGGACAAGCCCTTTTCCTCAGCCTTTTCCAGACTGACAGTCTGTCTTCACTTTTTCACTGTCTGGGGACCAGGAGTTCTTAATTTTACAGGCTCTTCTTCAAGGATTGTTTCTGGCGTGTGTTATTTCAGCGATCCTTCCCTACGCCCGGTGTCAAAAATATGTTCTTTTTTTTGTCCTCGGAGTTAACAGTTCGACCTAAACCTCTTTAGCTTATTAACCCACCTGGACTCGATTTTGGTGCATGGGGTGGGGTGGGGTGGGGTCCACCCCTCTTCTCCAGTGCCGGACCCATTGTCCCAGCCCACGGTGAGGAGCACACCTCCTCACCCGGCACACGTCACCATCCCCATCGAGGGGCTCTGTTCTGTACCGGTGTCACACTTCTTAATTGCTAGGGCTTAGTAGTAACTTTTTTTTTTTTTTTTCACTTTTTAAAAATCAGTTCTCTTGAGGTATAATTTACATACAGTAAGTGCTCGCATTTCAAGTGTGTGGTAGGTATGTTTTGATAAGTGTGTGTCCTCTTGGACCCACCACCCTGATCCAGACCTGGAAGAGCCCATCACCCCAGGAAGGGTGTTAGTTATCTGGTGCTGCTATAACAAAGACCACAGGTGGATGGCTTTAACAGAAATTTATTTCCTCACTGTTCAGGAGGCTAAAAGTCCTAATTTAGGGTGCTAGCTCTAGGGGAAAGCTTTCTCTTTCTGTCAGCTCTGGAGGATGGTCCGTGTCTCTTCTGAGCTGCTCCTAGGCGATCTTCACGTAGCTTGGCATCTCTCTTCCCCCACCTCTGCTCCTTTCTCTTGCTTGTTTTTATATCACAAAAGCAATTGACTTAAGACACACTGAACAATGATCTTGTGTCATTAACATAACAAAGACAACCCATTCCCAAATGGGATTATAACCACAAATATAGGAGGTAGGATTTACAACACATGTTTTTGGGGGACACAGTTCAATCCATAACAGGGTCCTTGTGCTCCTTTGTGGATAAGCCCCCGCCCTGCCTTTCCCACACAAGCGCCGATCCTGTATTTGTCACTTCAGATTCATGGCGGTCTCTAGGACTCCTCGTGAATGAGCTATATGACATGCAATTTATTTCTTTGTTTGCTGTGTGGTATTCCACTGTATGATTGTGCCCCACTTGTGCTTATCCATTGTCTGTTGATGGACACTTGAGTTGTTTCCAGTTCTGTGCCATTCTGAATAAAACTGCTGTAAGCATTTGTGGACAGATCTTAGTGTAGACACGTTTTCATTTCTCCTGGATAAATACCTAGGATTGGAACTGCTGAGTCATGTGCTAACTGCCAGACTTAGACAAAGCTGCCAGACTGTTTTCCAAGGGCTTGTGCTGTTTTCCTCTCCCAGCAGGGATGACAAGAGTGCCGTCCTCCCCAGTTGTCCTGTGAACTGAGCTGTCCGGTGGGTGTGGCGTGGAGTCTTATTGTGATGTTGGGTTTCCCTGATGACGGATGGCCTCGCTCATCTTCTCACTGTGCTTACTTGCTGCGCGTATTTCTTCTTTTGTGGAGTGAGCTTTTGGATCCATTACCCGTCTTCCCTTGGGTTGGCTGTGTTATTGAGGTGTTATAGTTGGTCATATAGTCTGTAGGCAGGTCCATGTGTTGAGGCCATGTTTCCGTTATGTGGCTTGCCGTGTCAGTTCTCTGAGGGTGCCTTTTGAAGAGCAAAAGGTTTTAATTTGATTAAATCGTTTTTATCAGTTTTTTCTTTTCTGGTCAGTGCTTTCTGTGTCTTGTGTAGAATTTTTTGCATAACCCAGAGTCACAGTTTTTCCTTTTACTTTAAGGTTTGTGAAATTTGGAATTAATGTTTTATATGGTGGGAGGTAGGGGTCAGTCTGTTTTTGTGTTTATTTTTGTTTGTTTGCTTTTCCATACAGATATCCAGTTGTTCCAGCACTACTTGTTGGGGGAAAAAAAAACTCTTTAATTCACTTGTTGACATACGTGGGTGCCTTTGTTGAAAATCAACTCACTGTATATGTATGGATGTATTTCTAGACTTTCTATTCTGTATTGTTGATCTCTTCATCTCTCTTTATATCAGTATCACACTATTTTGATTACTGTAGCTTTATACTAATCCATGAAATCAACTAATATGAGTTACTCAACTTTGTTCTTTTTCTTCACCCCCAAATTTTTTTTTACTGTATCAAGGCTCTTTGCATTTCCATATGAATTTTAGAATCAGCTTGTCAAAATGTTGATAGGAATTGCTCAAATTCCTGTATCAATTTGGGAAGAAGTGCCCAAACTTAACCAAACTGAGTCTTCTGATCTGTAACCATGGTAGATCACCCTACTATTTAGGTCTCTCTCAACACCGTTACATAATTTTCAGTGTGATTTTGCACGTTTTGTTAAATTTATCCCTAAGTGTTTCATGTTTTCAGATGCTGTTATAAATGATTTTCAACATTTTCCAACTATTTGTTGCTAGTATATAGAAATACAGGTGGCTGTTGTATATTGATCTTGTATCATGGGACCTTATGAAATTCACTTGTTGATTCTAGTAGTTTTTTATATCTCCCTTAGAATTTTCTATATAGATAATCATGTCATCTCAGTTAGAGACAGTATTACTTCTTCTTTACAATTTTGATGCCTTTTATTTCTTTTTCTGTCTTATTGTACTGGCTGGAACCACCAGTATGATACTGAATAGGAGTGGTGAGGGTCAACATTCTTGCTTGTTTTCTGTCTTAGGGGGAAAGCATTCATTCAAGCTCTCACCCTTGAGTATGATGTTAACTGTAGACTCTGTCTTTATCAGGTTATGTTTCTTTATACTTCTAGTTTGCCAGTTTTTCAAAAAATCGTAAATGGGTGTTGAATTCTGACAAATGCTACTTCTGCAAATGTTGAGATGTTTGTCATTTTTCTGTGTTAATATGATCATTTACCATAATTGGTTTTCAAATGTTAAGCTAACATTGCATTCTTGGAGTAAACCCCACTTGATCATGATGATCTTTTTCTTTTTTCATATATTGCTGAATTTATATGTTATTAGAATGTTAGAATATTTCTGCAAAATATTTACAAGAGATACTAGTTTGCAGTTTTCTTTTCTTGCAATGTTTTTCCCAGGTTTTGGTATCAGGGTTAAAGTTCATAATATTCCTTTATTACTCTTTTAGTGTCTGTAGGGTCTCTGACATCCCCTCATTTGTTTCTGATATTGATCTACTGGTGACAAGTTTTCTTAGATTTTTTTTTTTTTCTTCTTTAAATATGAAAATGTCATTGTCTTACCCCCAGTTTTAAAGGATATTTTTTGCCAGATATAGAATTCTGGGTTGACGGGTATTTTCTTTAAGCAGTTTCTTGACACTGTTCCATTGTCTTCTGACCGCCATTGTTTTTGGTGACAAGTCAGTGATAATGTTTATCTTTGCACCCCTGTAGGTAAGTGCCTTTTTTTCCTCCGCTGGCTTCAAGATTTTTTCTTTACTTTGGATTTCAGCCATTTCACTGTGATGCTCCTG